GGTAGTGAATTTGGAGGGATTTGATAGCTACGTTTGTTTCTGAAAAGAAGTAAATATGGTCACAATTTCTGGCAAGAAAATGCGCACCAAAAGGCTGCCGGTTGACACATTTCCCACAGCACCACCAGTATCCTCGAAGTATCGAGCCGAAGGACTGTGCCCACCTCTTCAATACTGTTATCTTAAAGGAGCTGATGTAAAGACGTGAAACGTGGTCACTCCTGAAAGCTAAGGAGTGAGCGCTATGAGCCTTACTCAGTTAAATAAAGTTCAGTTGCACATAAGACTTGCGCTACCATAAAACATTTCAAATGTCTTTCATTATTCATAATTTAGGCTATGCTTGATGCGAACATCGGTGCGGCGCGGATCGCCACGCACTAAACCGATGGATACGTCTAGACGATGGAAAGCCGGATTTGTTGGCGGTATGTGGTATGATGTGTAGTAGCTTCTCTGCTAGCACAGTGCGTCATACACACCTTAATAATTACTAATACTTCTGCACCGTGTTTATAGTTAGTTTTGTGTGTATCACACTAACACCTTTCAGAAGTTTTGCACTCTAGCGAAGTCCAAAGGCCTGGAAAAACTTATGGACTTGGATTTTTTTTTTCAAAACAATTATGAGCAAATCAAAAAACTTGAACTGCATAATTAAGTGAAGCACGAGCATGGTTATACAGCTGAGCAAAAGCATGGATTGCTTCATGTCGCCTAGCTAGTTGCTAATTTAGAAACCTTTACAATGAAACCTAAAAGGAACAATTTGCAGGTAGTGCACGCTATCACTGTTTTCTTTCCTCAGCTTTCCTCTCTGTCTTCTATCTCTTCTAAACAGTTTTTACCCTAAAAAAATGCTTCCTGTGACGCTATCAAGAAAATGCCGAACTACAACATAAACAAACAGTTTCTTAACCAAAATGATAGATTTGCTCAGTTTAACGAAAAACAAAATTTTCTGTACTGGACAGCAGGTTGATTTCACTTTCTACTGGTTAATAACCCAGAAGCTATGAAATGCGCTGCCTTCCTGAGTTTGGTAGAAAAGTAGCAGTGATTTTCAAAATCGTAATATTTCGAGGCTAAATGTTCAGAGCGGAAGGGGAAAAATGACTAACTTTTAAAGAGGATAAAAAGCAGCCGAATTTTCTGGAGTTTTATGTGAAATACTTCCCCAGGTACTTGATATTATTAAAAACTTTCACGCTAAAGCTGCTAACTATTTTCAAATTAATTAACATTTTCTTTGTATGTATACTTAATTCATGTCAATTTGACCAAACGAGAGCATGCATTTATTGCCTTAACTTGTCCTCTTCAGTTTTAACCCAGTGTTTTTATGTTGCATATATTACCCCTTCTTCATTAACATATTTCTTCTTTCTGTAATTTTATCACATTTATCTTCAGTTCAACATAAGAGAACATAGTTATTGTGGCACTGAAATGGAGTTGAGCAAATTGGAGGTAGTTTTCAATAAAATGTCCTTTGACCATCCTTAATCCTTTGTTTAGCTACAGTTTATAGTTTCTTTTCCAACTATGCAGCTGGCAATTTTTCTGTTTGCTTTGACCGGTGCTACATCAACTCGTGATTAGTCTGACACCAGTTTTGTCTTAATGAAGAAGAACAGAGCAAATGGAAAGGCTATTTAGTTGTTTCGAGTTCTTTTTGATGTTTGTTGAATGTCACTACCTTATTCAAATGTGGCCAGTTCTAGACTGGGTTACGGTATTCTTACGGACTAGGAGTAATAAAAGATAATTTGAACAATATATTTTTCAGCGACAGAAAATCTGATAATGCGAAAGTGCTGTGAAATGAGATAGAAAATCATGAGGATTGGGCTCAACCGAAACAATAGCACTTAATAGTTCCAAAATTTGAAAAAATGGGCTTATGATGTGCTAACCAGTTGCTTTGCTCCTGAGCCCAGAATTTAACAAGCAACTTTTAGGATCTAAAAAATTTTTGGATTTTTCAATTTTTTTTGCGGTATCGGGATGCGACTGATGGCTGAAGGCCATCTCAGTGGTTGGAGAAATATAAGCTTATGGCAATGTTGCAGAAAATCTGGAAGGAATGCCGACCGGCGGCGTTAATCTAATGCAAATGATGATCCAACCATCGCTACGTTACAGCAACAATCCAACAAGCAATTACGCCTAAGCCATCCATTCTCTTTCGAACACATTTCACTCTCTCAGGAACAATTCAGCCAGCATTCGCAATTCGCAAAACACACATACGATTTTTGCTACCAGTGATTTCAAGCTAATTTTTTAACTTGAGAATGAAAAAATTTACAAATTCGAAAATTTTGGAATCATACTTTCAAAACAGTTCAACGCGCAGACGCCCAGACACCCAAATATGGATTTTTTCCAATGACTTCGGGACAGAACAAGCCTGAATCCAAAATTTCAATATGCGCTAGATCTACCAGAAAAAAAAATAGTGAAGTTGCATGAACCGCAACCAGTAACTGGGCACCTGCGGCACGTCGTGAAAACTCATACTGATCCGCTGATGTATACCGCTATTTATAAAACTATACGCGCTTTACGAAAAAGAAGTGGGAAGCAAAATGGCTAATATTTCGCGAATATTAATGGTATAACGCGCTTGCGTTTGCAAGTTGTATTCACGAATTTGCTGCACAGAAAGCGTGGTTTACGTGTTTGCAGTTCTTCTATCGCAATGTGTACTTGATCTCTGTTTATTTTGTGATAAATCCGGCCTTCCCCTTGGATTTGCAGTTTTTAACAATAGTGTGAAGAAAGCAGTTCTACATGAAATAGTTGTGACTCGTACTAGCGTATACAATGAATGCATTTCCATTTCGTGATCAGTAAGCGCTAAGTCGTAAAATTTGGCGGAAAAAAGTCAGTTAGGAAGTAGTAAAATTTGGCAAGAAAAATAGCAACAAAAAAAA